GGGGCAGGAGTGGGAAGCGGCCCGCTGGGGTTCCTGCGGGGGTCGGGCTGGCCCAGGCAGTGCCGCTCTGTGAGAGGAGGCCCCGTGCCCTCCGCACCCAGGCCTCTGGCCAAATGGAGCCAGCTGAGTGCTGGACTCTCCCCTGCGCCAAGCGGCCCGAGGCGGCCATTCCAAACGCCCCCGCCGGGAGGGGTGCTGGACACCAGGCCTGCTGGTTCCTTTCTTTTCTTTTTGGTCAGTCCTGGGGCTTGAACTCTGGGCCTGGGCGCTGTCCCTGAGCCTCTGGGCTCAAGGCTAGCACCCTACCACTTGAGCCACAGCACCACTTCCGGCTTTTTTCTTTTTGCTTATGTGGTGCTGAGGAATCGAACCCAGGGCCTCCTGCATGCAAGGCAAGCGCGCTACCACTGAGCCACCTTCCCAGCCCAGGTGAGCTGGGAAGTGCCAGATTCCCGGCCGGTCAAGGGTGCAGCAGCACCTTCAGGACGGCCAGGTCAGCGGTGGCAAGCTAGCGGAGGGCAATCGGGGAGGGGCGACACATCCCCTGCCCTGGGCCCAGGCCGGGGCCGTGGGGGGGGGACTGGGGCACAGCACAGCCTACACTGCTTTTCCCCAGGAGGGGACCCGCCCTGTGGTGCCCACAACTACTTCCTGGAATCCAGGACCTTTGGAGCACACGCCTCTCCCCTTGCCACACCCCAAGAGCCCCCAGAACCCAGGCTGTGGGCTGCAGGAGGGGGACAAAGCCAGGTCCCACTCTCCAGGGTGGGCGACCCCCCTGGGCTCCCTGCCGGCTTCTGTTTCTGCTGACAGCCGGCTCCATCCCTTCAAGGGGAAAACTGAGGCTGAGGGGAAGGATCCAGCCAAGGAGCAGGGGAATGCTAAGGGCCGCAGGATGGAGCAGGAGCGAGGGCAGAGGCAGACCACCTTGGACGTGAGTGCACTAATCGTAGCCCTGGGTCCCAGCCTCCTCTTCTCTCAACGGTACTGGGCTTTGCACAGGGAAGCATGGCCTCCAACTTTTTTTTGGCCAGGACCTGGGCTCTGTCCTTGAGCTTTTTTGCTCAAGGCTAGTGTTTTACCATTTGAGCCACAGCTCCGCGTCTGGCTTTTTGTGGTTCATGGAGTCTCACAGAGTTCCTGTACAAGCTGGCTTCAAACTTTGATCCTTAGCTACGCAGGCTAAGTAGCTGAGTATCCAAGATTACAGGCGTGAGCCCGACGGCACCTGGCCTCCAACTTCTTTTCCCAGGATGGAAGCTGGGCTGGGGTCTGGGGGCTCCTGGGACTTTCCACCTGAGCCACATTGGTGTCTAGCAGAGACTTGGCCCACCATAGGCCGAGATGCAGCCCCCCCCAGGGTCTGCGCTCAGGGACTCCCGCTACTCGTGGAGGGAGGCAGCGAGGGGCCCTGGTGAGGGGTGTGCTCCCCATGGTGAGGACCCCAGCTTCCCCCTGGAATGTGGATGCACGGGGCTGCTCGGGGGCCGGGCCAGGCGGCCTGGACCTCCAGTCCCTGGGAGCTCTATTCTAGCTGCGGGTGCGGGGTCTCCAGCCTTTGGCCAGGACCCCAGGCTGTGGAAGGCCAAGCCACGGGTGGGGGCTGGTGGTCTCTGGTGAGAGTGGCTTGAGGGGTGTGTGGGAGGGAGGCCTCCCCACCCTTCCACAGTTTCTCCTGTGCCTGGCAGAGGCCCAGGGTGGGAATCAGCTGAGAACAACCCCACCCCCGCCCCGGCTCTCCACAGTGTCCTGTGCCCTGGCAGGGGGCACACACAGGTCCTGGTGCACTTTGCTAGCAGGATGACAAATGGCAGACAAACTCTAACTGGAGCAGCTGCCTCTGGGGACGCTGGGCCTGGGCAAGACCCCAGCCCCCCCCTGCCATGACTGCCACACCCGGCCACCATCCCTGGAGACCAGACAGAAGCAGACCCTTTCCACAGAGGGAGGGCAGATTGGACCAGGAGAGGCCCCAGACCTGTCCTGACAGATGGCAGCGCGGCCCTGGGCTGCCAACGCCGCCAAGCACCGCCAAGCAGAGGGCAGCTTCCTGCCAAACACAAATCCGCCTGCCCTGCCGGGGCCTCGCACCACCCCAGAGACCCGGGAGCTGTTTCTCTAGTACTGGGCAGCAAAGAGCTGAGCCCTGGAACGCACCCTTCTCTACCTCACCCAGAGTGAGCCTCTCTCTCACAGTTCTGAGAGTGAGGTCCAGAGAGGCTGAATTGTCTGCCCCAAGCCACACAGGCCTGAATCTTAAACCTCAGCTCAGAGGAAGAAAATGTTGCCCTGTAGAAATCCCCACCGCGATAGTGTCAGGCCAGACCCGATGGAGCAAGGGGAGGCTCCTGGCTCTGTGCCGTGCCTGCCACCCTGTCCAGCTGCCCCACGGTAGCTCAGCCCACACCCTCTGCCAGCTGCGGCAGCTGCACGCCCACGGCCAGCAGCAGCTGGGTGCGGTCAAGGCAGAGCCTGGGAATCTTGGGTCCACAGCCTGTCCACAGCCCAAGTTCATGAGGTCAGGGCCCGGCAGGGATCCTGGCCTGGACCACAGGCCACAGAGGGGATGGGTGGGCGCCTGGCAGCAGGCCTCAGCCAGCTTCTAGCTGTGGGCCTTGCTCCCCTGCCCCACCCCATTCCCCGAGGACGTGGCCTCCTGCGGAAAGGCCCAGAGCCTCCTTGGGAGGATCAAGCCATCTGGTGCCTGGACAACGCCACGTGGACACAGACAGCTCACAGAAACGCCATGTTGAGGACCAAGGACAACGCATCTGGGGGGTAGAGTTTGTCCCCTCCTCAGTCCCTGCCTGGCCAAACCAGATCAAGGGACCTTCTAGATGCTCTTTCCAGAGTAGGCACCTGATCTTACCCTAACCAAGCAGCTTCAGAGTCTGGAAGCCCCATTGTAGACCTACGCTCCTGAGGTTGGTCAACCCTGACATCCAGCCCTAAGGAACTGCAGGAGACAGATCTCCTGCCCTGCACTGGGGAAAGGAGGGATCCCATCCACACTGAACCCTGGGGAATGAGGGATCCCATCCACACTGAACCCTGGGGAATGAGGGATCCCGTCCACACTGAGCCCCCGCAGTGAGGGATCCCATTCACACACACTGAGCCCCCGCAGTGAGGGATCCCGTCCACACTGAGCCCCCACAGTGAGGGATCCCGTCCACACACACTGAGCCCCGGCAGTGAGGGATCCCGTCCACACTGAGCCCTGGGGAATGAGGGATCCCGTCCACACTGAGCCCTGGGGAATGAGGGATCCCGTCCACACTGAGCCCCCGCAGTGAGGGATCCCCTCCACACTGAACCCTGGGGAATGAGGGATCCCATCCACACTGAGCCCCTGCAGTGAGGGATCCCCTCCACACTGAACCCTGGGGAATGAGGGATCCCGTCCACACTGAGCCCCGGCAGTGAGGGATCCCATCCACACTGAGCCCCCGCAGTGAGGGATCCCGTCCACACTGAGCCCTGGGGAATGAGGGATCCCATCCACAGTGAGCCCTGGGGAATGAGGGATCCCGTCCACACTGAGCCCCGGCAGTGAGGGATCCCCTCCACACTGAGCCCCTCACAGAGAGGGATCCTGTCCACACTGAGCCCCCCACAGTGAGGGATCCCGTCCACACTGAGCCCCGGCAGTGAGGGATCCTATTCACACACACTGAGCCCCTGCAGTGAGGGATCCTGTCCACACTGAGCCCCCGCAGTGAGGGATCCCATCCACACTCAGCCCCCCACAGTGAGGGATCCCGTCCACACTGAGCCCTGGGGAATGAGGGATCCCATCCACACTGAGCCCTGGGGAATGAGGGATCCCGTCCACACTGAGCCCCCGCAGTGAGGGATCTCCTCCACACACTGAATGGGACCACTACTGATCATGCCCAGTAAGTGAACAGCCACAGCCCAGCAGAGGTGCTGGCAGTACTGACCAGGAGGGGACCAAGGATCCTGGCTGAGAACCAGATTCGCAGCGGGCAGAGCAGGCAGCTCTGTGAGGGCCAGCAGTGTGCCGTGGGCCCCGTGGTGCAGCAGGTAACAACACGGGTCGGGCAGGGGTGAGGTAGGCCAGCCTGCACCAGTGTTCTTGATGCACAAAGTGCAGAGGAGCAGGCGCAGCAGGGCCAAACCATGCAGTGCGGGCATGGGGAACGTGCTCCAGGGCTGCTCTTCCAAAGAAAGACCTTCCTGGGTTCTAGGAAGGTGCCTCGTCGGAGCCTGTGTGGGGGGTACACGAAGGAAGGGCCCGGGAGCCCCTCACAGACTCCCTGCAGATGTCTCAGGCCTGAGTCCCTCCCCCCCGGCTGGAATTCAGTCACTCATTCCTGGACTGCCAGAACGCTCGGAATGGCCAGCTGTTGGCTGGGCCCAGGGTGACCCCCACATTCCCCTCCAGGACCCCCCTCCCAGCTGCTGCAGCCATCAGAGAGAGTGAGCAGGGGTGGACAGGCAGCTGTTCCCGCCCATCCGTCCTACCTGCCCCCAGACAGCCCAGGCCCTGCTGCAGCCTTGTTCCAGGCCTCACTGGATGGAGGCCTGCTGCTAGAAGGCTTCTTCCAGGCTCCATAGGCCTTACTGGCCAAGACCCAGAGGTGCTTCCAAGGCCTCTCCCCTCCAGAGACCACGTGGCTCCCAGTTCCCAGCCACAGGGAAGGGGTTCTGGTCTCGAATCACCATTGCACCCACCCCTGCCTGCCTCCAATGGTGCCAGGGAGCTGGGTGGAAGACCAGCAACAAGAGGTGGGTAGACAGGGGTGTGGGCTCCCTGAAGCTACTTTGAGACTCAAGGGGCCTCAGGAGGGGAAAAGTAGCAAAGCGAGAGTCTGTGCAGAACCCCCCTCCACCCCAAGCTAGGGCCCACCCAAGAGAGCCCAGGAAGGTGCAAGGAGGGAGCAGAAGGGCAGGATAAGCGTGGGCCACGCCTTCAAGTTGGACATGGTGGAGGAGGGGGGGGGTACTGATGTGTGTGTTTTGCTGGGTCCTGGAGACACTCCCCTCTGATGGCCTGTCCCCTCCAGTGGTGGCCTGTCCACCTCAATCCGACTCCTGGGCCTCCGGTCGCCTGTCAGGAGGGGAAGAGGAGTCCTATCTGGCTGCACACACCCCACAGAGGGCCCACGCCGAGGGGAGGGCATCTGACAAGTGTTGACAAAGAATGCCATCCTGGCTGAGGTGCGGGGCGCTGGCCCGCTGGGGTTGGGGTGTCCATGCATCGCTGTAGGAGGCAGCCTTGGGCAGCCTGGCTGTGTGGCCCTGCCGTCTCCACACGGTGGGGGAGGAGGAAGTGGCAGCTGCTCTGGGGTCAGGCTGGCCAGGGCCTGCTGCTGCCAGGGACGGAAACCTGAGCCTGCCAGCCAGAGCTGCAGGAGATTTGTGGGCGTTCAGGGGACCAGGAAAATACTGGTGAGTGCTGGGAAGGGGCTGACTGCTCCAGCCCTGCCCCACCGCCCAGGGGCACCCGCATACTCCAGCCCTGTCCCACCGCCCAGGGGCTCCCCAGTGCTCCAGCCCTGCCCCACCGCCCAGGGGCTCCCCAGTGCTCCAGCCCTGCCCCACCGCCCAGGGGCACCCCGCATACTCCAGCCCTGCCCCACCGCCCAGGGGCACCCACATACTCCAGCCCTGCCCCACCGCCCAGGGGCTCCCCAGTGC